CACGGATAAGACAAGGATTGGAGACAAAAACCACTTAACAGTAGAAAGAGTTTTTATTTCTGGAATTTTGAATTGTGTCGTTATTGCAGAGGTCTATCGATATGTAGATGGTTTCTGAAGTTATAAATAATTTTGCGTAGACAATTTGTGAGTAGACATGGATGGAAAACAGGCGTTAATGATTATTGCTAAAGTTTCTAAAAGAAATTGCCTAGTATTAAGCTTTTTAAAGGTTTTTTCAACGCACTTACGTTGAATATTCTATATGGAGCAAAGCATATTGGACCATATGAATAAAAATACATAAGTAATTGCTTTTCAGAACTTTTACTCGATTTATTCAAACAAAATTTAAGTAAAAGGCATGAAATTATAAGAAAAAGCAATTGCTTAAGGTGTTCTTACATGATATGTATTAGCATGTGTACATGCAACTTTTTACATATGGAAATGCCAACATCTCGTGTAAAGGCATATTAGATTTGTTTCTGTACAAAGCAGATCCACGTGCATACGAAATTGTAGAAATGTATCTATTTTCATCTGACAGATAGAAACATCTGAGTTTAGTTTATTTCGTTTTCAAAGAACGTATTTTTAAATTGTTAAATGAAGACTGTGAATTTGACAGACATACGCAATTACATTTGTATTGAAAAAGTCACATTTATAGATGCAACTACATATCACCTTTAGTTTTCATTCATACAGCCCATTGATCAGGGAGCAGCAGTAGAACAGCTTACCCTACTTTTTCGAGAATATCGTCTTTAAATTGTCATTTTTCTTTACATTTTACTCTAAAATATCAAGCTCTGTTTACGTATATGGATTCCAAAACCAACAACCAAATACACGTAGCTTGCTGTTTTTCTCGGGTACTATTACCTGTCCGTGCCGCGGTGTGGATATTATTTTAAATTTTATGAAAAGAGCAGATATTTATTGGGCGAAACTTCAAAAAGAAAAATGTTGCTGATTATATGAGGGATGGTTCGACATGGGAAACGCCAAAGACGAAGGCTACCTTGAGAATGTTATAAAAATTAAGAAGGTTTCAAAGATGGAACCTTCAACGGTACGCTTTGCAATTCAGCTCGTTCGTATCGCAGTTTTCGTATTACTGAAAATTACCGTTATATGCGAGGTAGGCGTGGTTATTGTCCGATTTTGCCCATTTTCAATACCATCCGTCCTACGCTGAAAAGAAGTGCACATACCAAGTTTCGTTAAGATATCTAAATTGTTATTCGAGTTATCGTGTGCGCAGACGGACGGACGGACAGTCACCGCTTAATCGATTTCTTCATTCTGATCTTCTTCTTCTTCTTATTTGGCGCTGTAACCGCCTAAGCGATTTTGGCCGAGTCCAAAACAGCACGCCAGTCATTTCTCTTCTGTGCTAACTGACGCCAATTGAAAATGCCAAGTGAAGCCAAGTCCTTCTCCACCTGGTCTTTCCAACGCAGAGGAGGCCTTCCTCTTCCTCTGTTCCCAGCATCGCGGCCCGCGTTGAATATTTTTAGAGCAGGAGCATTTCTGTCCATCCGAACGACATGGCCAAGCCAGCGGAGCCGCTGAATTTTAATTCGCTGCACTATGTCTATATCGTTGTAAAGCTCATACAGCTCATCGTTAAATCGTCTGCGATATTCGCTATCACCAATGCGTAAAGGTCCGTAAATCTTTCGCAGAATCTTTCTCTCGAAAACTCCAAGAGCCGCCTCATCAGATGCTTTCATTGTCCATGCTTCCGCGCCATACACCAGCACAGGCATGATGAGTGACTTATAGAGTGTGATCTTTGTACGACGAGAGAGGACTTTACTTCTCAATTGCCTACTCAGCCCAAAGTAGCACTTGTTGGCAAGAGTGATTCTCCGTTGGATTTCAAGGCTGACATTATTATTGGTGTTAATGCTGGTTCCCAAATAAACGAAGTCGTCTACTTTTTCAAACTTGTAACTGTCAACAGTGACGTGGGTGCCAAGACGCGTATGCTCTGACTGTTTGTGTGCTGACAGGAGATACTTCGTTTTGTCCTCGTTCACCACCAGACCCATTCGCTTTGCTTCTCTATCCAATCCCGAGAAGGCAGAACAGACGTAGCCCTTGTTTTTACCGATAATATCGATGTCGTCGGCATACGCCAGCAATTGTACGCTCTTATAAAGTATTGTGCCTGAGCGGTTCAGTTCTGCGGCTCTTATTATCTTCTCCAACATAAGATTAAAGAAATCACACGAAAGGGGGTCCCCTTGTCTGAAACCTCGTTTGGTATCAAACGGCTCGGAGAGGTCCTTTCCTATTCTGACGGAGCTGGTGGTATTGCTCAACGTCATTTTACACAGCCGTATTAGTTTCGCGGGGATACCAAATTCAGACATCGCGGCATAAAGGCAACTTCTCTTCGTGCTGTCGAAAGCGGCTTTGAAATCGACAAATAGATGATGTGTGTCGATCCTACTCTCGCGGGTCGTTTCCAAGATTTGGCGTATTGTGAATACCTGATCTATGGTGGTTTTCCAGGCCTAAAGCCACACTGATAAGGTCTAATCAGCTCGTTGACGGTGGGCTTCAGTCTTTCGCACAATACGCTCGATAAGACCTTGTAACCTATGCTTAGAAGGCTAATTCCGCGGTAGTTGGCGCGTATGGCGGGGTCGCCTTTCTTGTGGATTGGGCAGAGCACACATAAATTCCAGTCGTCGGGCATGCGTTCATCTGACCATATTCTGCATACGAGCTGATGCAGGCACCTCATCAGCTCCTCGCCGCCGTACTTGAATAGCTCGGCTGGCAGGCCGTCAGCTCCAGCAGCTTTGTTGTTTTTCAGCCGCGTAATCGCTATTCGTACCTCGTCATAGTCAGGCGGTGGGACAGCTACTCCATCATCATCGACTGGGGACTCGGGTTCGTCTTCCTCACTACTTTCAGCGCTGCTACCATTCAGTAGGTTATCAAAGTGTTCCCTCCACAATTTAAGTATATTCTGGACATCGGTCACTAGGTCGCCATTGTTGATCTTACAGGAGTTCGCCCCGGTCTTGAAACCTTCCGTAAGTCGCCAAACCCTCTGGTAGAATTTTCGGGCGTTCTTCCTGTCGGCCAGCATCTCAAGCTCTTCGCACTCACGTATTTCGGCCTCTCTCTTCTTATTGCGGCAAATACGTCTCGCTTCCTTCTTCAGTTCCCTATAACGGTCCCACATGGCTCGCGTTGCGCCCGATCGCAGCGTGGCCCTGTAGGCGGCATCTTTTTTCTCTGCGGCTTCTTGACATTCCTCATCGTACCAGTTGTTCTTTCGGGCTCGCTGAAATCCAACTACTTCTTCGGCGGCGGTACTTAATGATCGGGAAATGTGGTTCCACTGCTCGCGTACGTCGGATTGTTGAAGAGTGCTCTCAGAGAGCAGGTGTGTGAGTCGAGTGGCGAATAAATTGGCCGTCTGTTGTGATTGCAGCTTTTCGACGTTAAGCTTTCCTTGCATTGTTGGGCGCACATTTTTTGCTGCACAGAGGCGGGTGCGTATCTTGGCTACAACAAGATAGTGGTCCGAGTCGATGTTTGGCCCTCGGAGTGTACGTACGTCCAAAACGCTTGAAGCATGCCTTCCGTCTATCACAACATGATCGATTTGGTTTCTCGTTTTTCGATCTGGAGACAGCCATGTAGCTTGGTGGATGTTCTTATGCTGGAACCTAGTACTACATATTACCATATTTCGGGCCCCGGCGAAGTCGATCAGCCTCAGTACGTTATCGGACGTTTCGTCGTGGAGGCTGAATTTTCCGACAGTGGCGCCAAAGATCCCTTCCTTGCCCACCTTGGCATTAAAATCGCCAAGCACGATTTTGACATCGTGTCGGGGGCAGCGCTCATATGTACGTTCCAAGCGCTCATAGAAGAGATCCTTGGACGCCTCATCCTTCTCTTCCGTCGGGGCATGGGCGCAGATGAGCGAGATGTTGAAGAATCTAGCTTTGATGCGGATTGTGGCTAGACGTTCGTCCACCGGGGTGAACGCCAGTACTCGGCGACGGAGTCTCTATCCTACCACGAATCCAACACCGAATTTGCGCTCCTTTACGTGGCAACTGTAGTAGACGTCGCAAGGCTTCACGCTTACTTTACCTTGCCCCGTCCATCGCATTTCTTGGATGGCGGTGATGTCAGCCTTTGTCTTCCCGAGGACATCAACCAGCCGGGCAGAGGCACCTTCCCCATTAAGGGTCCGGATATTCCAGGTGCATACCCTTAAATCATAGTCCTTTATACGTTTGCCGTGGTCGTCATCAGAAAAAGGGGGTCTCATCCGAGGCTTGTTGGAATTTTTCATTGGGCGGGGTTTTAACGTGGCGGGACCCAAACCCAGCGCACGCGAAGTTTTACGCCTTCTCACTTTAGCTCGCTCCCAAACGGGTGTTTGGTTGCTACCCAGAGGATACGTGGATATAAATATCCGGACGTTGTGAGCTGCGATTTGAACCGTACGCACAAGAATCGCTTCTGGCCACTCCCAGGTGAATGGCAGTCAAAAGTTTTCCACTTCTGCGCACGGAACCATCCTCCTTTCATTCTGATCATTAATGTATAAATTTGTCTATATCTGTATTGATTCGTTTTGCCTGTTACAAAAAACCTTTATGTGGACAAAGTTATAATACCCTTGTGCGCAAGTTCGCTCGGGTATAAAAAATAGGGGCATTAATATGGACAAAGAAAGTAAGAGTGCCTACAAAAACAATGTAGGACCAAATGCACAAAGACCTGACTACATTAGGGATGAACCGACAAACGGTTATAGCACCGAATCTGAATGCTCGCTGCGAATACGAAACACAAGTCAGTGACGGGGGTCCCTGTTGGAAGAGAATGCCTATATGCATGTATGAGATATACCCCAAGTTTTTTTACATACTACAAAAGAGATTAATAGCACAAAAAGAACAGATTTATTTTTGTATGTTTCATATAGTTGTATTTTTACAAATACTTACATGGTCCGTAACAATTTGAGGCCGTCGAAAGCGCCATCCTCAATGCACTCCATGTGCTGCAAGTCTGTTAGAACACTATTTGTATTTTCGTTATGTGCGGATAGAAATAAAGTTAGTACCATAAAATAGACTGTGCCTTTTTTGTTGTCGTATTTCCCCTACTTACAAATCCTGCAACGAACTTGCATACTTCTTCAGGCCGGTCGTGCGTACTCGCGGCAGCCCTGCCGACGAGATGCTAAGCCTTTGCATCGGCACTGCAAGAGTTTGTGGTACGCGCATTAACGCCTCTCCCTCACAATGGCACTCAATTTCATCCTGCAATAGAAAACAGAAATAATTGTTAATTGCAGTCTAATGCTTGCAACACATTGAAAACAGCCGACGACGGGCTACATCGTTCAAATTATTATAACACGTAGTATGATTTATAAGTAGTTTGAACTCGACCCGGTTACAAAACGAATTGATAAAGTTTTAGATGTAGCCAGATGCACATATTTCTATTTAGACAATCCACAAGGGCTGTATTTTCCTTTTTCCGTTCGGCATCTGTAATTGCCGTAGTTTGGAGTTTTCCAAAGATATTATTACAATTTTTGAGCTAGTATCTTTCACAAAATAAATTGTCAATTATGGATATTTAAAAATACCACTAACTCCTAAATACAGCTACACAGAATACTTTACACTTTAAATTCCAAAAACGACTGTTGTTAAACAATGTAATGCAAATAGGTTTATATGCGCAAATCACTAATAATCAAATGCTTCCCAACCTGTTACACATTTTGCATATAAAAAAGCCAAACATTGAAATAAATTTACCTAAAGGTACATCAAAGTGGTTCCAAAAAGTTTATTTTGGAAATTCATAAACGCTACCTCAAATATTTGTTATTTGTTATAAAAAAGAGAAACGTGTTTTTTTATTTTGAAAAAAAGTTTTCTTAGATGTCACGCTGGTCGGTTTTTTTAAAACGCTGATGTTCTCAATTTTTTTATTTTCTTGACATGTTAAAGTGCAGCTAAAAGTGTGGTTGTTACATATAACACTGTAATATTGGACCAAACCAACTTTTCTGAACAGACTGAGTCATAAGTAAGAAAAGTAATTTCTCCGTTTTTCGAAGTTAGCCTCCGAAATCGAGATATATGGATTCGAAGTTCGAAATTTAACCTTTAGTAAAAAATTATCTTTAATTATTGCATGTAAAAAGCAAAAAAAGTGAAAACACACCCATGGTCCGCCTATTGCTCTTATTTATATTGTATATAAATTTTTTCGTGAAAATTTATATTACAGGTGCTATAACGGGTCAAAAGTCAGATCTTCGAAAAATTTCAAACTTAATATTTCAGAAATTTTTTAACTGATTTTTAAAAACCTTCGTATTGTTGTAAAGGTGATTTAACCCCCTTTCTTTTGATATGCATATTTGTATACTTCATATAAAGAAATTTGTGAAAAAATGCATTTAAATGAAAAAATAACTTTTTTTGTATAAAAAAATATTTTAAACAAAAAAAATACTAACCGATTTTTAAAGTTGGTATCTTTGTAAAAGCGATTGAACTCCCTTTCTTATTATATGCATATCTGTATACTTCGTATATAAAAATTTGAGAAAAAACACTTAAAAGGAAAAAATACCAATTTTTCTTATAAAAAAATAAAAATTACTAATTAGTAATACAATTGAATACCGCATTTAAGTAAAACAAATAATTATAAGTGTTTAAAGCATTAATTCGTTCTTGTTCACCCACATCCCTGTTAAAAATAAAGCAAAAATTTATGTAACAGAAGTCTAAGGCATATAAAACAAGTAAGAAAGTCTAAGTTCGGGCGGAGCCGAACATTAAATACCCTTGCAAGTATTAAATATATGTTTTTCACCATTTCGAAAGATACCGCTACATGGTAAGCATGGTGTATTAATTTTGAGTAAATTAGCGTCCTTAAATTTCGAAATATTGAAATTTCAAGCATTTCTGAAATTTACCGTTATATGAAAAGCGGCCGTAATTTAGTTCAATTTCAATAATTTTCAACGTTTTGCTTTTACGTGGCAGGCACAATAACCATACCGAGTTTGGTACAAATTGGTAGAACGGTTACCGAGATACATATATGTGATCATAAGTGGGCGGTGCCACGCCCATTTTACAAAATTTTATCATAAACTTATATACATATACATATCGTAAAGAATTGTTGCAAGCATCAATTTTGAATAAATTAGCTTTAATATTTACTGATTTATCGAAGATTTTGTATTTCCTTAAATTACCGTTATATGGGATGTGGACGCAGTTATTGTCCGATTTGAAAAATTTTCGGCCATTTTGTATGCTGTAGCATATCCAACAACTGCGCCAAGTTTGGAAGAAATTGGTACAGCTGTTACCAAGGTATACACATGTAACCATAAGTGGGCGTGTCTACGCCCATTTTCCAAAAATTTACAATATTTCTATTTTTCGTCTAAAATTTATTGTAAATATCAATTTTGAGTGAATAATCTTCAGTAGTTACTAAAATATCGAAGTTTTCGTATTTCTGAAAATTACCATCATATGGAAAGTGGGCGTGGTTACAGCCCGATTTCGCCCAGTTTCAATACCAACCTATCTCGGATAAATGAAAACCTACATACCAAATTTCGTTGAGATATCTCAATTTTTGCTCGGGGTATCGTGTACACTGACGGACGGACAGACAAACATGGCTTAATCGACTTCTCTATTCCTTCTGAGCATTTATGTGTACATTTGTCTATATCTACCATTATGTGAGCAAAGTTAATATACCCTTGTGCACAAGTGCGCTCGGGAATAAATATACAAACACCATGGTGTTTGATTTTTTTACATAACAGGTTATATATGAAAATGCAAGGTAATTTTCTGTTTTATTTAAACAAAGTATTCAATTGTATTACTAATTATTAAGTTTATTGTTTAAAATATTTTTTATAAGAAAAATTTGGCATTTTTTCCTTTTAAGTGTTTTTCTCAAATTTTTAGTTACGAAGTATACAAATATGCAAATCAGAACAAAGCGGGTTTAATTGCCTATACAAAGTTGTGAATTGTTTAAAAATCGGTCGGTTGGAAGGTTACTTTTTCTTTTAAATGTGGTTTTTCTCAAATTTTTTTATGCGAAGTATACAAATATGCATTTCAGAAGAAAAGGGTTTAATGGCCTTTACAGCGATACCAGTTTATTAAAAATCCGTTAGTATTTTTTTGTCTAAAATATTTTATTTTTATAAAAAAAATGTATTTTTATTTCCTTTTATTAACTCGGGATGTAACTATATAATATTGATGCGCCTAAAAGATGCAGCGATTCCTATTCTCAAGTTATATACATACAGTCGAATGGCAATTATAGCCGTCATCGATTCTCCAACAGTTAGCGAGTAGCGAAACGAACGAACGCAATGAGGTACAACCAAACTCGCTATCGTCTATCCGTGCTAACTAACTTTGTTGTTGCTTTCACATGCAAAATTTTTCGTTAAGCGACCGGAACTCAAACATAGCAAGCAGCGAAGTGGCGAATCGATGACGGCTTATAATAGGGAGGTTTTAGTTGTTTAAACTATAATTTTATTTCTTTAAACGTGTTTTTTTTTTAATTCTTATTTACCAAGTATGCAAATATGCATATCAAAAGAGAGAGGGCTTAATCGCCTTTATAACGATACCACCCTTTTAAAAATCGGTTAGTAATTTTTTTGTAAAATTTTTTTTTTTTATAAAAAAAGGTATTTTTTCTTTAAATGTATTGTTTCTCAAATTTTTATATACGAATTATACAAATATGCATATCAGAAGAAAGGGAATTTAAGCGTCTTTACAACGATACCAATTTTTTAAAAAACTGTCAGTAATTTTTTTTGTTTAAAATATCTTTTTTTTATGAAAATCGGTACTTTTTTATTTAAATGTGTTTTTTCTAAAATTTTTATATATTAACAAAGTCGGTCGCTGTGGTGTAGTGGTAAGCAGTGCGCGCTTCCACTCCGCAGCACCTGGGTTCAAACCCTGGTCAAAGCAACATCGCAAAAAATATAGAAAAAAGGGTTTTTCTTAACAGCGGTCGTCCCTCGGCAGGCAATGGCAAACCTCCGAGTGTATTTCTGCCATGAAAAACAGCTTCTCATAAGAATACAATCTCCGTTCGGAGTCGGCGTAAAACTGTAGGTCCCTCCGCTTTGTGTGACAACATCAAGGCGCACGCCACAAATCGGAGGAGTACTCGGCCAAACACTAACATATGTGTAAGCGCCAATCTATTATTATATTATTATCATTATTATACAAATATGCACATCGGAAGAAAGGGGGTTTAATCACATTTACAACGATATACACTTTTTTATATTCAGTTAAAATTTTTCGAAGACCTGAACTTGTAGCACCTGTAATATAAGTTTGCACAAAAACGTTATACACAATTTAAATAAGAGTAAAAGGGGAACTATGTCCATAGTTTTAGGTTTTTAGTTATTTACATGCAATAATTAAATATAAGTTTTTACCAAAGGTCCTATTTCGAACTTCGAAGGTCCATATCTCGATTTCGGAGGCCAACTTCGAAAAACGGAGAAATCACTGTTTTACCAATGATCTCAATCTCTTAAAAAAATTGGTTTGCTCCAATACCCAGAAGAAAAGTTGATTTTGCCGTATAGTGTAATTACTCTGGTATTATTGTGGAACATTCCCTTAATTACATACCTGTCTTGGTCAGTTATAATAGGCCTAGTGCCGGAAAATAGGCTCTCGAAAAGAGACTAGTAAAACTAAAAGGTTGATACTGAACGATTTACGCGTTGTCTTGGGTTCAAACTTGTTACCAGGGGGGGAGTTCTGGGGTTGCTAATTAGGAATCTGAAGCCAGTTTTTCAAAATTCAAAATGGCGGATCCATTTATTTTTAATGATTGGATTTGTTGGAAGACCGGCACTCGGGAGTTTTTGGAGTCGCCGATTACGAATCTTAAGTCAATTTTTTTAAATTCAAAATGGCGGATCCAATATGGCGATTAAATTAAAAAAAAAAATACTAATTATAAAACGTTGATACTGAACGTTTTAAACATTGTCAAGGGTTGAAACTCGTTTCCAGTGGGTTTCTGGGGTTGCTTATTACGAATCTGATGTCAGATTTTCAAAATTCAAAATGGCGGTTAATAGTTAAAAAAAATTCAATCATTTGTTTTTAAGTTGGACGCCATTTTGGATCCACCATTTTGAATTTTGAAAATCTGACATCAGATTCAAAATCAATAAGCTCAGAAACCC